GAGAGAGCAGAGAAAGAGAGAGAGAAGGGAGGAAGAGTGAAGAGAGAAGAGAAAGAAGAGAGAGGGAGAGAAGAGAGGGAGAGAAGAGAGAAGGGAGGGAGGAAGAGGAAAGAGAGAAAGAGAAGGGAAAGAGACAGAAGGAAGGGAGAGAGAGAAGAGGGAGAAGAGAGAGAAGAAAGAAAGAGAGAGAAGAAAGAGAGAGAGTGTGAAGCTTTGTAGTCTTCTGGGTCGTTGGGTCTGTAACGTCAAGTCTTTGGTAACACGGAGTCTAGCCTTAATTGTCTGTGTGTGTGTTTGTTTGTCTGGCCCTTCGGCTTCTTTCAAGGCGACCGGGAGGGAAGGGGAGATATTTTGGGGGGTGGAAATGATCCTGGAGGCTGGTTTCCTGCACGGCTTTCAGCCCCCTGGCGCCGGAGAGCTCTTAGCCTTCGCTTCGAAAAATGCAGTGTTAGGAAAGCTAATCGCGTTAGATGTTCCGCTCCTATCTTGACCACGTTTGCGCCGCCGCCGCCGCCAAAGGCGGCCTCTCGTTTCTCCCCCCAACTAATACAAACGGCCTGAGTGCCTCCAAATACACAATCCCTTTTATCTCTTTCAGGAGTGGAGCAGGGCTGGGGGGGGAAGGAGGGAGAGAGAGACACACACACACAGAAGAAAGAGAGACAGACAGAGAGACAGACAGAGAGACAGACAGAGAGAAAAGGAGAGAGGAAGAGACAGAGAGAGGAGAGAGAAAGGAGAGGGGGAGAGAGGAGAGACAGACAGAGAGGAGAGAAGAGGGAGAAAGGGAGGGAGAGGGAAAGAGAGAGGGAAAGAGAGAGGAGAAAGGGAAGAGAGAGAGAGGAGACAGAGAGAGAGGGAGGGAGGGAAGAGAGAGAGGAGAGACAGAGAAGAGAGGGAGAGACAGAGAGGGAAGTGAGAGAGGAGAGAGGGAGAGACAGAGGGAGAGAAGAGACAGGGGGAGAGACAGAGAGGGAAAGAGAGAGGGAAGAGAGAGAAGAGAGAGGAGAGAACGCTGGTCACTTCGCCATATTTTACCATATGTATCAATGGTTTTTGCTCATCTCTGTAAAAAAAAATCAAAGCAGGGCTGGGTTCAACACAGCGTTGTGGCTTTGTGTGTGTGTGTTGCACACAGCTATCTGTGAAACCCTTCCACTAACCCAGTGGGCATGATTCCCTGCCTTCAGGGGCAAACCAACACACACACACACACACACACACACCTTAGATTACCATGAAACTAACTTGGCCTGGCCTTGATAGGCAGCCAATAGGCTTTTAATGGGCCTGATTAGGGACAGCGTCTATCTCTCTCTCTCTCTTTCTTTTTCTCTTTTTCTCTTTCTCTACCTCTCCTCCCTTCTTCTCCCTCTCTTCCTTCCCCTCTCATTTAAACACGTTTCCATACTTCTGTTTGTTTGTTTCTCTGAATGGTGTGTCCTGAAGAATGCCCCTCCATCACCTCCCTCCCCCCCCCCCCTCCCCCCCCCCCAAAAAAATAAGCTGCTGCTGGAGCCAGTGGTGTATTAACCATTAAGCAGACTAAGCACGTGCTTAG